TAAACGACAGACCGACCTGTGAAGGCAGCACTCTGCAGGAATTTTATTATCTCCAAATAGGAGGAGAGAAAAGCCCAAAAAACCGACCGACCTGTGAAGGCAGCACTCCTCCGGACGGGGAGCAGCAGGAAGTTGGACTTAAAACGCAATCGGCTGATTTCAGGCTAATTATCCCAAACAGGAGGAGAGAACAACCCAAAAATAAACGACAGACCGACCTTTGAAGGCAGCACTCAGCTGGAAGTTGGACTAAAAAAGGCAATCGGATGATTTCAGGCTAATATCTCCAAACAGGAGGAGAGAAAAGCCCAAAAAACCGAGCGACCTGTGAAGGCAGCACTCTGCAGGAATTTAATAATCTCCAAACAGGAGGAGAGAAAAGCCCAAAAAACCGACCGACCTGTGAAGGCAGCACTCTACAGGAATTTAATAATCTCCAAATAGGAGCAGAGAAAAGCCCGAAAACCGAGCGACCTGTGAAGGCAGCACTCTACAGGAATTTAATAATCTCCAAACAGGAGGAGAGAAAAGCCCAAAAAACCGACCAACCTTTGAAGGCAGCACTCTGCAGGAATTTAATAATCTCCAAACAGGAGCAGAGAAAAGCCCAAAAACCGACCGACCTGTGAAGACAGCGCTCCTCCGGACGGGGAGCAGCAGGAAGTTGGACTAAAAACGCAATCGGCTGATTTCAGGCTAATTATCCCAAACAGGAGGAGAGAAAAGCCCAAAAAACTGAGCGACCTGTGAAGGCAGCACTCCTCCGGGCGGGGAGCAGCAGGAAGTGGACGGCCGTCTTTAGCTGCTCTCCGTCCGCTCTGCAGGAGGAGGACCAGCTCTGTTTTTACGCGTCACACGCAGGGACACACACACACACACACACACACACAGGAACACACACACACACACACACATACACGGGAACACACAAACACGCAGGAACACACACATACACACACACATACACAGGAGCACACGCACACACACACAGGAACACACACACACACGCGCTCGCCACACACACACAGGAACACACACACAGTAACACACACACACACA